TAATTAAATTTCTGTATGTGTGTGTGTATATATATATATATATATATATATACTTATATGTATATATACACACTCCAAAAACAGTAAGTGTCTTGATCTTGGTTTATGAACACCATGCTCCAAAAAAGGAACCAGACTTTCCTGGAGACTCATTGATTCCAGGTTTGAGACAAGGAAACAAAAGATGGTCCTAGGACATCTGGTAGTGCCAGAAAGTAAAGAAGTGCTCAAAAAAGAATAGGGGCACATTTAAAGGACACAGAATCCACAATGAAAAACATTTTAAGCAACAAAATAAGTAACGTTAGTACTGGATTATAATCCATGGAATAAATATCCATGAGACAAAATTAATGTAAGTAACTGAAAAAATAACTGTCAGAGAAGGAACCTATCTTCCTTGAAGAATAATTCCTGTAAACGAATGTAAAAAGAATGAGAAGAATAGAAAATCACCATGAGGCACACACTCAAATAAATAAATAATAAAATCAGTGGGTGAAAAGGTGAGGATAAACAGGTATTTGCTTTGTCTCACAGTATCTCTCCCTAAAACATTTATTAATTAAAAAGGGAAAAGTAGTAACTTTACAGTGAAGAAATCCAGCAGTTACCACCTTAACCTTAATAACACCAATAATGAGATCCATCAACGTCATGAACCTCCAATATGATGCAGTGAGAAGGATATAACTTCACTTCCCTGGTATTCTTGCCAATCTATTTATAAGGAAACATCAAACAAATCCCAACTGAGGGATAAGCTATGAATTCCTCATCAAAAATATTAAACTGATGAAAGACAAGGAAAAACTGAGGAACTATCAAAGATGAAAGGAGACATGATGACTAAATACTATGTGGGATCCTGAATAGGGGAAAAAAAAAATGGTGAAATGTGAATGATGAGTGTAGTTAACAGCACTATACCAAGGTTAATTTCCTGGCTTTCATAAATGTACCACAGTTATATAAGGTATTAGTAGTACTGGAAGCTGGGTGAAGCCACATAGAAACCCTCTGTACTAATTTTGCACCCTTCTGTAAGTCCAAAGTTATTTCAAAATAAAAAGCTAAAAGCATATATATTCTAAATATTAAACCAACAAATATTTAGAAAGACTGGAAAGAACATGATTATCTATGATCACTGAAAAGAAACTCTGGAAGAGCAGTTCCATGAACATGATGATGAATATTAATAGCACTATAAAGATGGAAAATAAATTTAAACCCCAAGACACATTAGAAGCAGTCTTTCAAAATAAACCCCTGGAATCAGTTTTTTTTAAAAAAAAACCTCATTGCTGTCCAGTCGATTCCAACTCATAGCAACCCCTCCTTGGGCTCCTTGGGAGGAAGGTTGGACAATCTACTTCCGTAGTGATACCACCTCAGAAACCCAAGGAGGGGTCGCTATGAGTCACATCCGACTCGGCGGCACATAGCAACATCTCTAAGGAAGTAGATTTCCCAGTCTTCCTCCTGAGGAGTGGCTGGTGGGTTTCAATCACCAGCCTTCTAGTTAGCAGTCAAATGCCTTAGGCACTATGCCACCAGTTAAGAATATACCAAAATATTTTACACAATTAGACTTTGAAGCTATATAGACTAACATAAATGGAAGCCCTTTCTTTCAAATAAAGGTCAAATACTTAAGATTCCTTGAGCTGCCACCCATCTAACCGGGCATACTATAATTCAGAAGTGTTGTGGTATAAGTGGATTACATGGCAGAAATCCACTGGGGCAGAAAAACTGGCAATACAGGTAAGGAGACTTTCAGTCTAGACTGTTAACAACAACAACAGAAAAAAAAGCTTCATTATGACCTGACTCTACATATTTCTAAATTTTAATTTACCGTAAATTTTAAGTTACTCTACTGCACACCTACACTCACCTCCACCCTCAACCAAACTTTACCATTTCCTTCTTGCAAAAAATCATAAAGTTCATTAAGATGCCATTAGTAGTTTTAACTTTTAATCTCTTCATCTAATTAAGACATGTCTCCTTTTTGAAATGTGCTTACATTTCTACAGGGGCCTCAATTTCATAGTTCAATCATAAGTTGGCAAATTATGACACATCCACTCACCACTCCTGTTTTTGTAGCTTACTGGATCACAGCTATGCCCATTCATTTATGTAGCTACTTTTGCACTACAGTGCAGAACTGTCAGGGTTGTATAGCTCTAACAAAGACTGTGTGACCCACAAAGCTTAACTATTTACTATCTAACTCTTTAAAGCATAGATTTAAATCATAAGCTCAAATTATAACTGCACACTCAATCAACAGCTTCCTAAGGAATCAACTGAAATAAAAGTGATGCACTGATCGATATAATAGCCATACCCACTTGCTATGTGACTAGTCTAATTTGAGATGTGCTTTAAGTCTAAAATAGACATTGGATTTCAAAATCTTAGCATTAAAACATATAAAAATCTTGTTAATATCGCTTATGCTAATTACATGTTGAAATGTTAATATTTTAGATATATATTGTTGTTGTTATGTGCCGTCAAGTAGGACCCGACTCATAGTGACCCCTCCTTGGGTTTCCGAGGCAGTATCACTATGGAAGTAGATTGCCCAACCTTCCTTCTGAGGAGTGGCTGGTGGGTTTGAACAGCCAGCCTTCTGGTTAGCAGTCAAGTGCCTTAGGCACTATGCTACCAGAGCTCCTAATATTGAATATATTAGTATGTTTTTCCTTTACTTTTTACTGGTTTTTTTCTTTTTTTAATGTGGCTGTGATAAAACTTAAACTTACTTGGCTGAGTCTATTTCTGGTGAAGACTGCTAGTCTAGAAGATCTTATTTAAATCAATAAATGACATTCCCATATAACAAACTTATACATACAATTTACCCTTTAACTTGGACACTGTTGAGAAAATGGAGATACTATTAAGACCAAGACAACGAGAAGACAATCAGAATACCGTGGTAACCTTTAGAGAATATGTATGTAAGCAGAGACACTAATTTATCACAGGTTTTCTACTAATAGCACCCTTTTATAACATGTTTTATACAAAGATTTCAGAACCCTGGGTTAATCATGTTCTCTAACTTTTCCCAAAAAAAAGTTTCCATGATATAGAAGTAGAGAGAAATGTCATTCCCTTCCCTCTCATCTCACGTCTAGTTCACAAAACCAAAGATCAGTAGGTAATTTTGTGCACTCAAGAGATTCACTTTCTGAACTTCTATAACATAAGCATTTTGGTGCTTTACTTTGTATAAGGACTTTGAACAAGTTTATTCCAGCTTGGCTCCCTGCTGAGAAACTGTACTTCTACCCCAGATACATTGAATCAGAATCATTTTAACAAGATCCAATTCACAAGGCAATTCTTATATATTCATCTCGGGATCTATAAGAATCACCTGGAGGTCTTGTTAAAAATAGAGTTTCTGGCTGAGTAATCAGAAACCAGGGGTAGAAATGCAAATTCTCAGCAGGGAGTCAAGGAGGAATGAATTGGTTTCAAGGCCTTCTTTGTATTTAAAACTGAGTAAACTTACATGACTTAAACCTGTAGATGGAAAAAAAAAATGTTTTATAAGTGCTTCCAATTTTACAATTAGTAATTGCCGCATCTTAAATTGAAAATTAAGCCACTAGAAAAAATTGCTGGAGCCTACAAACCTAACATCTATCAAGAAACATTCTTACAAAAGACCTCTAGATGGAGCTGTAACCTAACAAATAAAACAGTCTCTCAGCAGTTTAGGCAACTTGTCTTGGAAACCCAAGGAACATTGATTGCTATGAGTCGTTCCCACTCCACCGCAGTTTGTTTTTTAATTGGTTTAGAGGATCACTATGAGTCAGAACTGACTCAATGACAGTGAGTTTGGTTTTGGGTTTAGATTGCTGGTTTAAAGTAAGTAAAAATTCTGAAATCACAATCGTCCTGATTTCCCCACCCCCTTTATTTTCAGGGGCTTAATGTATTATAAGCAGCTTTGGTAGCGTAGTACCTAAGACACTTGACTGCTAATCAGAAGGCTGGTGGTTCAAACCTACCAGCCGCTCCTGGAAAAGAAGGTTGGGTGATCTACTTCCGTAGTGATACCGCCTCAGAAACCCAAGGAGGGGTCCCTATGAGTCGGGTCCAACTCAATGGCACATAACAACAACAACAATGTATTATAAACACACGTTCAAAATTCAGGTAAAGCCATTGCTATAGTGATCTATCTTATAAATAATGCTTGTGCTAAATAATGTTCAATAAAAAGTAGCCCTTGGGAATGATGATGATAAATATGTTACTAGGGTTTCATTTTTGTGTGGGAAAGGGAGAGAAAAATCAATGGAGTTGCTATTTACCTGTGCCCAAAATGTTACTGCATCTTCTACATGACTTCCAACAACATCTTCAACTGAAACCAAATCACAATGCAAACAAAATTAGAAATTAATCAATGTCATCTAGCTCTTACACTCAAAAACAATTTTTAATATCAGTACCTTTATTGTAATGTGGATCTTCATCCATTTTGACAGTTCCTGAAAAACTAAAACAATTCAATACCTTGATTAGGTTATATAATTATCATCCAATAACAGTTAAAAAACGACTATGTTAAAATTCTCACAAAAATGTTTTGTAATGAATTCAGTTATCAGATTTCAAATTCGATATAAAAGAATCTTCCTGAAACAGATTCCAAATCGTTTTTACCACTATTTAGCCAATTAAATTTTAATATTCTTTGCACTTTTTGACCAGTATTAGAGGAAAAATCCTTGAAGATACTACTTACTCATGTGAATAAAATAGTTTAAAGCTATAACAAAAATTTTAAGAATAAAGTTGTAATGTTTTGTGAACTTTTTGTGCTGTGACATTTACAGAGTAAATAACTTTTCCCTTCTCATAATTGAGAAATCATCTGAAACATTACTACGTTGTGTTGTTGTTGTTATGTGCCGTCGAGTCAGCCCCAACTCATAGCGACCCCTCCTTGGGTTTCCGAGGCAGTATCACTACAGAAGTAGGATTGCCCAACCTTCCTTCCGAGGAGTG